TTTCAAAAAAAGAAGATTCTGAAATAATCGCGTTTAAAGGATCAAGTTTGTTTCGCACGATGTGCAGGTAGTGCGCTATAAATAGCTACAACTTCGGTTCTAATGCTCCGATCGTTATGATTTTTGTGAGAGTATTTTTTTAACACTATAAACTTAAAGAATATGCAATAAAAAAATCGATATTTTCATCTATCACAACTGTATATAACCCCTTAACTCCGTATCGCTTTGGAGATCTGATGATTGAATTTCAGCCCAAAGATTTTTCATAAACATTCCAATGTTAGGCCTTGCAAAACAATAACTCACAGTTCCTGCGCAAAACAATAACGCGCTTATTGCTCGACGGCAATTCTCAATCTTTGTGTTCCTTACCTCTTGAGGGAAAACGACAGAGTTCTAAGATTTTTAAACTGGTTTTTTTTTACTCAGATTGCAGTCTTATTTTTTAGCTACCCTGAGCTGAGAATTTTTATTTTTCTACAGCCACTTGTAGGTGCCAGTTTTTTAAACCTGAGCTTCTTAGCGCAGGTGGGAAAACGTCATGGACCAAATGTTAGGAGGAGTCCCGATAATTTCTGGTGGTACTCCAATGAGTTCCGTTTGGAAACTGTTGTTTTTTATTTCATAAAATTTTTTTTTTGTTTTTTATTTCACAAATTCTAGAAAGACAAAATACATGCTAATCTTAAAAATATTTAAAACTACTTATCAACGCACTGCACACTGACATGCTATGCGACCCTTTCTTAAGTGCGATAAGCGCACCAGTTGTGTATTTGTTTGGGTTGCAAAGTATCGGTTTTAAACCATGCTGTTTATTTCGTACTTTCATGGGTCCGATTCCTTGAAACTCTATCTTTAGAATTTGTATCGTGTGCAATGCTCGAATCATCTACAAACACCTTTCAGAAATGTTATTCGAAAAAGAGAGGAATAGAGCGTCCTATGGAAGAAGGCGCACGCCTTATCTACTCTCAACGCAACGTACAGGCGTGATACTGAAAAGGGAGGGGTGGACGATTCGTGCGCATGGAGCGTGAAGGAGGCACGAAGTCAAGTCTTAGGCATTCCGCGAATCCGACAGAGCGTATGCATGCAGGTGTGGGGAACCCGTGGCGAAAGCATAAATCCGTGTGTGTGTCCTGAACTATAGGAAAGCTGCTCAGTTCCCGGACTAGATCAGACGCCTAGATCTAGACCAACCTAGATCAGACGCCGACTATAGCGAAACAGTAGCGATCATCAAGTAGCAAATGATAGCAGCAAAGCAGGAGTAGCGATCGAGCAGCTGTAGGTTGTGTGCTATGCTTAGAGCATCGTCTGGCAGCAGTTTGACTTACCCCGAAAGAGCGCACTCGCTCAGCCGGTATAAAGTTTTTCCCACGCCCAAGTTACTTTCCATAGGTATAAAATTCGAGCCTGGCAAACGTAGAAAATGACGAAACAACGGAATGACCAATACCAAACAAATTATTCATCCATCCGCATCCCAAAACTTCATTGGGACACTAAAAATGCACACTAAAAACAGCACACAAAAAAATGGTCAGTAAAATGAACACCATTACAAATGGAAAAGATGCTGAGCTCCGTGCATTCGGTCGGGCAACCCGGATTCTGAGGAAGCCTCCAAACATGACGTCTGAGGTAGAAATTCCGAAAAGGCTCCTAAATAAATAAAATAAAATAAAATAAAATAAAAGCCTATTAAATAAATAAAAAAAATGGTTGTACAATTAAGTGCTCAAGATGCTTAGTAGCTCTGTGTAAATTTACCGTGCATAACGTGGAATGTTCTAGGAGTTATATTCGACGTCGTTGTATTTAGTTTACTCAGGATCCGAACCAGTTTTATAACTTTATTAACACTAAACGTGGCCGTGAGCCAACACTCCCTTCCCTAAATCACACCAATCCAAGGTGGAACAGCATATGCCGAAGGATGCGTGTCCGAGGGGACGCTAATATGCGGACTCTGGGGGACCGGCCGACCTTCCATTTTTAACCAGGCTTATTATAACAAACGGGCTATGTCATGATGGACGAACCCCTTCCCGCCTACTCTTGGGTCCAAAATATGAACACATCCAATCAAACCAAAAAACATAGTCGAGAACGGAACTTCCTTATAAAGTCCGGAAACTAACGACCCGGGATCAACGACCCGTCAAACTCAAAGGCCCTTAAAATCCAAGGAGTTGCTGCGATGGAGAAGCTCCCTATAGAGGGGCAACCACCGGAGCCGACCGAATAGGGACACCCGGAAGGAATGTCGGGTGAAGAGGAGGACATCCTGGAAGAGTACACCTCAGAGGAGAGCGACGCGGCTAGGGCAGAGATGACTGTGGTGGATAATCTCAAGAATGTCTCTGACAATGTCTCTGACAATCTTGCAGACAAACCTACACCACAGGTTTCGGAGTTCGGTTTCGGTTGGGGGCGTTGGAGTACAGGCTCTGTAAAGCCTATACAACAGGTAAGAAGTGAGCCTTCATCCTCGCAAAAAAGAATCTTTACCTATTTTTGCAACGTAATTTAAGCAATGAAAACTTCGTAGCCGCAGCAATAGAGTGGCCAAAGGGACCTCTAACGGTATGCTCGACTTATATGGGCCACGACCAAGAAACGCCAGGTGGATGAAAGCGGGAAGCAAAAGATCGACCTGATCATAGGTTGCGACATTATTAGTGGGGAAGCACTTACACAAACGAGAGGGGTGATATATTCGATTTTATTCTAAGCTCAAATCTTCCGGTGGGTAACATAACTCACCTTTAAAGTAAAGAACAGAAAGGAAGTACTTACTCTTTACTCTGACTCCCTAGCAGACAGGATTGTTAGATGGGGAGTCCTAGAGAAGCACTCTTTCTCCGACCATTGATACATAGAATAAGAGGTCAATTTCAAGAACTTCACTCGACTAACAGTGCGCAACCGGAGAAAAGCAAACTGGGAGTTATATAAAAAAAAATTAGAAAGATCCTTGGGGAAACCTCCAACAAGGGACGTTAACAGCAGGGAACACCTGGACGCCATGGTGGGCACGGTAAGGGCGCCGTGCGCCAGGGCATATAAAAAAGCCCGCCCCAAAAGTAGATCGGGCAGATCTACTATTTCAGAATAGGCATCGTGCCCGCGACGTGGTTGCGGACGAAGGTTGTATTCATACTAGAGGTCTGCATGAATAGCTAAAAAACGACATTCAAATGCACAGCCTCGAAAATGAATTGAGTGAGATAGAATGCTGAGACGAAAATTAATGAATGAGTGAGTGCGACTGTGTAGGTCTCACTCGCACAACATTCGGGGGATGAAAACCGAATTGAATGAGTTAGAGTTACAGTTCGCATTCGAATTGTTTCAAATGCATTCTAGAATGTACGATACAACTATGCATATTTGCCTGTATTTTTAGACGCTGATAATAAAATAATTCAAAAGTGAAGTAAGTCATTGATTTTTTTTCCAGAAATATTCATTATTATGCTGTGTATTTTATTTTACATATTTTACTTATATAAATGTAAAAAATTTTTCAATATTTATTAATAAATAATTTTCCAGCACAATTTTGCCGCTAAAAAAATTTGCAAAATAATTTAATTTGGAAAAACTAAACAATAAACACTAAGAAAATAATAATAACAGTTAAAAACCAAAGTAAAAAAACACTCTATCATAATTCACCTTTCGGTCAATTCACTCTGTTTCAAAGCAAGAGAATTCCCATGAGTTACAATGCTCTCTCACTCCCTCTCATTCAATTCGTTGTGTCTCTTGCACTCATTCATTCTATTCCATTCGGATGTATTCTATGGCTGAGGCAATAAGAATGTATTCCTGCAGACCTCTAATTCATACCCGAAGCGGGAAAACCATCGCACTGCTCCCTAAGGACTATAGTCATATAAGTCTTTCGTCCTTCCTCCCCAATACAATGGAGAGACTAATCAGCCTCCATTATAATCTTACCATAAACCCAGATAAAACATTTCGAGATCACAGAACGTGCATTGGATAGGGCCGATCCACGGAGACGGCACTCCACGAGATCACCGTGTTCGTCGCAAAAGCACTTAGTTACAAGAAATACGCACTTATTGCTTTTCTAGACATAGAATAGAATAGCAGCTATAGTCAACCCCCCAAGTTGGGTAATTTCCGATCGTTCCGCTATATGGCAGCAATAAGATATAGTCGGCCGCTCCCTAAGATTGTGGGTCGTATTATTTTGCCAAAAATAGCACTCATGCAAAATTCGAACTCTCGCACTCTAAAAACACCAAAGTTATACCATTTCCGATCAATCAGTTGAATGGCAGCTAAAGGATATAGTCGGCCGATCCCGACCGTTCCGACTTATATACTGCGCAAAGAAAGGCAAAGTTTCAAGCCGATAGCTTAAAAACTGAGAGACTAGTATGGGTAGAAACAGACAGACGGATAGATGGACATGCTCATATCAACTTAGGAGGTGATCCTGATCAAAACAACATAAAAGGATCGTTCACATAAAATATTGTGTAGAATACTGCATATTTAATCTGATGATGCAACACAGACAACCCATTGCAATCAAACACTTGCCGATGAGGCTTTAACCCTATCGGACTGTTATTTTCTCGTTATCGGGTTATTACTATGCGTCCTTTGGCTATACCCGTTTTGACTCTATCAAAAAAATCTATTATGTTTAATATTGCTTAGTTAGATGGTAGTTTTTTTAAATAAATAAAAAAAAAATTAATAAAAAATTCAACCTTTCTTCTTGGCAATATTAAAAGTTTTCGATGGTATACTGTATTTATACCGTTCCCGGTAAAAATATATTTTTTATTAAAGTTTAATTATTTTACTTGAAATATTTTAACACATGTTTCTTTTAATATTAGGAAAAAATAGATTGTGTAACAACTTATGTAGATATTTGATTTCGTATTTTGACCCCTTCAAAAGGCTTAAACAAAATTTGACATTTTTTTAGTGTTAACAATTACCTGATATACTAATGCTTTAGTCTCCGGGGTTGTGCTTTCTAAAATTATTTTTTTAAATTCACTTGGACTAGACAATTTAAATTCCGATGCAGAAGTAATAAAATCTTGAAGCTTGTCTAGATCAGTAGAATCCGAACATTTTTCAATCCTTTGTGACGCTAATAACTCCACGCCATTGGCGCACCATTCATTAGCCTATTAAAAATACAATAAAAATATGTTAAGAGTAAACTTATAAATCAACTAACCTTTTCCACTCTTTCCATAAGCTCCATATTTTTAGAAAGAATATCGATTCTTTTGCTAAGTTGCGATTCGATTAAATCGCAAACTCGCTTAAGCTCGTCGCATTTCGGTTGAACAACCTCCCAAGGATAAAGTCTCCGAGATCCAATCAGCTCCTGACCAACACTTAAAATATTACCTGCTCGTTCTATATTAATTCGGGTAGCTTCACGAAATTCTTTAGTTTCTTTAATAAGTATGGATATACGCTCTGTATTTTCACCAACCTCAGTTAAGCTGGCAATAGTTTTTAAATGCCCATCAAATATAGTCTGTAGTAAAAATAAAAAATTTGAACTGCCAGTTTTGGAATTCGAAAGATTTATACCTGAAGTTCTCGAAAATCTTGCTCAAACAAACGTAAATTCAAACATTGCTGTAGCCGGCTATGATGAGTAAGCCAAAACTCATCAAATCGTCGTTCCGTTTCTTCCAGTTGAACTAGAAGTCTACGATAACCGCGACAATCATCATAAAATTGAGCTTGTTTAAATGTTTTTTTTTTATAATAAGTAATTTGTTGACGATGAATCATCGGCTCTGCACTGGATATTTACGTAGTTATTTTAAGATGTTTTAATTAACGGACAATGCAAAAAATGTATTAAATTTTTAAGCAAAATTTCAAAGATATTTTAATTACCTATGCAAAAGATAAAACAAATACAAGAAAAATGTAAAGGAAATCTTAAGCCAATTTCAGGAGTTTTGAATTCTTGCAAAAATCGTTTTGTTCGAAAAAAGTCATGGAATGGGCCATTTTAACTATTTTTGAGTCACCTGAAAAAAATGTACAAACATTTTTCCAAGGAAACAATTTTTAACTATGGATAATGTTAAAAACATTTTTAGAGTTAAAGCTTATAGCGATTTGAAAATAAAAAAAAAACAAGAAAGGAAAGCTAACTTCGGGCGGAGCCGAAGTTTATATACCCTTGCAGTTAAAACCGGATATATATCGCAAACATCGGATATGGCCGATCCTTATGGGAATATGAATATATAATCCAATTTATTACAATACAAAATCTAAAAAAAGTCCCAAACTTCTATCTTTAAAAATACGAAAGTTGATATTTCTACCAAATACCATTTCCGATCGTTCAGTTATATGGCAGCTATAGGATATAGTCGGCCGATCCTAATGAAATTTGGTAGATCAACTGACCAAATATATAATCTGTACCAAGTTACAGCTTTCTATCTTCAAAAACACGAAAGTTGGGTCATTTCCGATCGTTCAGTTATATGGCAGCTATAGGATATAAACGGCCGATCCTTACGAAATTTGGCATGTCGTATTATTTTGCCAAAAATAGCTCTCATGTAAAATTTGAACTCTCTCACTCTAAAAACACCGAAGTTATACCATTTCCGATCAATCAGTTATATGGCAGCTATAGAATATAGTCGGCCGATCCGGGCCGTTCGGACTTATATACTGCGTGCAAAGGAAAGAAGGGTGTGTGCAAAGTTTCAAGACGATAGCTTTAAAACTGAGAGACTAGTTTGCGTAGAAACAGACAGACGGACAGACAGACGGACAGACGGACATGCTCATATCAACTCAGAAGGTGATCCTGATCAAGAATATATATACTTTATAGGGTCAGACATGTCTCCTTCATTGCGTTGCACACTTTTGACCAAAATTATAATACCCTCTGCAAGGGTATAAAAAACACCTATCATCATAGGCAACATCTATCATGAACCATTTTACTACTCAAATGGACCACACTTTTCAGATGCCCAGCATGCAATTCGTGGGTCTTTTTAATGAAGTAATAAGAATGTGAATAGTCTTACCATCAATGTTATACATATATTCATTAGGAATATATGATAATTAGAGTAAACCATTTGTGATTTTCGACTTCACATAGCAGTTGGCGTTTTTAGGGATATTCAATTTTTTTATAATAGGTTTTTTAAAAAAATTTGATGATTGTGTCGGAAATAGCGCCACGTCGGACTTTGGATTTTGGGTATTCTAATATCACTTATTTCAGAGTACGGACAATTTTTTTAGGGACAATGTCTTAAATATGCTAAGATATGGGGATTTAGTTTTATGATTTTTAGAATAAGATTGTGGTTTTGACTCAATTTTCTTTTGCCGATGATATATTTTCTTTTAGTTTAGAAACAAAGAAGAAACAAAATAATACATTTTTCGGTCCAGTGAGAGCACATAATTTAATTAATGTGTCATGTTTTCATATTCGAACCTTTGGATGGCACTAACGTTACCGGTGCGCTCTGAGAATTCTTTAAACTCCTCGACCATTTTAATATTATCCAGTAGCGATTCACCATGTTTAGCTGCTATAAGTATCTCCTCCTAAACATATAAAAAGTATATAATTTAATTTTTTTTTGGCAATATGGCAGAAGCACCTTCATGCGACTATAGTCGTTCCCTTGAGATTCAATAAGAATTTCCGTGGCATTAACAGAGTTTGGAAACTCTGTATCATGTATAGTTTTGATAAATATATCCAGTTGTGCGGAGACTTGGTGAGTAAGGAATGAAAACTTTTCTAGCGACTGTCGATAAGAGAAGAAATGTAAAAAATATTATAAAAAAGGTTCTAGTAAAAAAAAAAATCCGAAAAAAAACATATCCAATCCTATAAGAAATTAACTGGCTTATCGGCAAAACGACTATATTGTCTGTACATTTTTTTGAGCATACGAATGTTCATCGTTCAAATTAAAAAGTTTTAAGGTAATTACTCTCTTCATGTGTGTACATACTTATTTTTAATTAAATAAGAACTTAATTTTGAATTTACGTATTTTTAAAATAAGATTATTTATAATGTTTTATGGACACAAAATGACCGTCTAGCAAGCAGCGATAAACATATCAGGGTAATGACGATTTTCATTAATATATGTACATATTTAAACAAAAATTTTTTTTTTGATAGCTACTTACAGTTCTTTGTTGGATCCATTCATTATGGGAATATATTAAATCGCCTCCCATATCTGGCGTTAACTGATTCACATTGACATATTCATGAAGATCAGAAAGTGCGGAGCAAATAACAAGATGGAATCTATATTCGTCTTTGGAAAATTTTGAGCTGACTTCTGATAAAGCTTTTTGAAACAAACCAATAGGTCGCAGTATATAAACCTTATGAATAATTCCCGGAAAATACATCTGAAATACAATATTACAATATTTTCAACATTTGTTTATTTTATATCTCTGATAAAAAAATCTTTGGTCTTATCGTAGACCAAATATACCGAAATATGCCAATGTTTCGTAAAGGTAATTATTTTTCACATTTATGGGTCATGTGGGAGAGAGAAAGCGCAACTTTCTCTCACTGAGCACTGACCTCTCTACTCTATCTACTTCTTCACTTCTATTATAACAAGCAAAGTGAAGACTAGTTAATTAATAAAGACAAAGACTTGGTTAAAAAAATTAAATGTTAAAGTTTTAAGTTTTATACAATTTATAATGAAAAGACCTCTGATGGCTGAACCGCTCCGTCGTTCCCATCGCTAGTTTTGTTTTTTGTTGTTAATTTTTATTTTCTTCAGCATCTGCAACGATAGTACTTCTTCGGTTTTGGTTTTTTAGCGAACATTTGGAAGAGTGGTGGAATAGCTACTGAATATCTTGCTTCGCCAGTTTCATATGCATAGTCGCCAATTCTTATAGTGGAGTTTTGAAATTGGATGAGGTAGCTTCAATTTAAATCTACTTTAGTTTTGTATATTTGTAGTCGCCATTGTAGTCGTTGAGGATATGGTTTAGAGTGTTTTAACAAAGGTGTTACACAAGTATCGTGACTTATATCAATAATGTTATCTCTACTAGAAATAGTTCTATCATTATGCGATTCGCATTTATTTTTTTGGCGTACAGATTGTAGAACATCATGTAAAGCATTTCCTTTTGGCAAATTCTAGTAGTTCTTAACATTAATAAATATTATTTTTTCTTTTTATAATATTTGTTCAATTTTACTTACTTTTATTTCTGATAATAGGATATAATTTATTTGATTTGTGTTTATTTTTGCCCATTCTAAAGCGTGTGTGAATTGTGTATTTCGGTCCGGCGCACCGGCCAACAATTTTCATCCTGTTACTAGAAAGTCTTTTGATCTTTTCGTTTGTTTTGTGGTTTGAGTCGACGCAAATCTGTTTTTTATTTTTTGTAGTTCATACTCTAGAAATGGTTAAGGATGATGACTGCAGCACTAGCACTTCTTTTAATTTTTATGCTGCATATGGATTACCCTAAATGCACCAGTCTATTGCTGCCATGCTAGTCTTAATAGGGATCAACTGGGAATATGAATAGTCTGGTATTGTGACCAATCCATGGCATAACGGTAAGAAGAATCTGTAAGCATATATTACGATTTAATATAATTATTATATCCCATTTTCCCTGATTGTATTTTTACTGTTAAATTCTCATCTTATGAAACTATTTCTTTTTAAATTTTGAAGGAAGTTTGACTCTGGCTCATATGTTTTTATTGAATTATTTTTTTAATTGTGATAAGAAAGGACTTCTTCCAGTTTTTTTTTTCAATTTATTTACTGATTTGATTTCTGGATTCTTCTAGCTCATGTGGGTCTGTTATTGTTCTGGTTCCGAAGAAGACATCGATTGTCTTTTTCTTTGTAGTAAATGTAATTGATTTATTATTTTCCCTCGCGGCTTTCAAAACTAAGCAATGGAAATCGACTGAATCGTTTTCTTTCTTAAACGTTTTTTTTCTTAAAGTGCAAAAAAAAAAGAAAAAAATTGGAGGAACTTTTGAAGAGACCTAGTAGAAATTGTTAAAATTACGCGATAAGAATTTTTAAGAGCAAAAATGTCCAGAAAAACAGTTTTTTCTAAATAAGTTAAGATTTTGAGGGTGTTAGAAATATTTCAAACACGGTTTTATATTATATTCGACCTAATAAACAATTCCAAATAGGTCACTTCAAAAGTTCCAAATCACTGTCGCACTGTGTAATCTCTGTACGAGTTGAGTAGAAACTTTCAACTTTTCTATTATTTGTGGAGTGATAGGGTGGTGTCGTATAAACTTCTGCTTTGAGTTGATCTTTCAGTAAAAATTTTATTGATGCTGCATTCATGGATTTTTCATTATCCATGATAACTAGGCGATATCATAATTTCGTGTAAAGGGTGTTTTAAATCTTCGGCTTCTCTTGCTTTTACTATCTTCACCTGTACGTATTTGAAAAATTGGCCTATAGCTGTAAGTACAACGTTTTTTGGGTTGTGTATGGTACAGATCTATATGAATTATTTTAGCGGAATATTTGGGGATAGAAACGGTTTATATTTCTCCTTGTTGCGGGTGCCTTTCGTATTTAAAAAGGTTAGAATAATCGTTCTGCTCTGTTTCTGAGGAGACATCTGTTACTTTTACCTATGTAAGTATACCTTTTTTATATTTATAAAAATGGTTACCATATATATTTTGAATACGACTCAATATGTTTTCAAAAGTAAAAAGTCCATTTAATCTTCTGGGATATAATCTCTTTTTTATTAAGTCGTTCACACAATACAGAAAACGACTGAATAAAAGAAAAAAAGAAGAAAGGGCAAATATTTGGATAATGGTAACTCAAATTTGAAAGAGTCTTAAAAGAGGTTAATATGTAAAGTTGGTTTTTAAAAACATTTATTGGAGTTTCTACACCTTATAAATTGTAAGAAGAACTCTCATCCCTATGGACCATGTCATGGATCAGCTCTTTGATTTATTCTTTCCATCTCTTAAGTTTCACGTTGTGATTCTTATTACTAAGGGCATAAGTTAAGGGGTAATCGTCACTAAAGATTGTAACTTTTGCTCTGTCGTAGCTAATGTTCCCTTTACATTGGTTGCATAGGGTAAGAGACGGGAAGTAAGGGCAATGAGTTTGCCATCCAGTTCCAATACCGCTCCTATGGCAAAACGAGAAGCATCGGTCGTTAGTTGGACTTCTTTTTTCAAGTATGGGTGGGCTAGTAACACATCATCTGAGATGAGTGCTTTTTTTCGCTTTAACTAAAAGCTTCATCGTCCAATGTTACTTTAATTTTTCCTGAAACATTTTTGAAAAGTTTACCGTTTTCACCCCTTAAAGTATTGTCAGTGGTTTGACTTTTTTTCCTAATTTCGAATAAATCTTCTGTAAGATCCAGATAATGCCAAAAAATATCTAACGTCTTTTAATGTTTGTGGTTTAGAGAAATCTCATATGGCCGTCACCTTATCAACACTGGTTTAGATCCCATCTGCCGAAATGGTGAAGTCCAAAAATTTAACTTCGTCTTTAAAGAACTCGCACTTGTCGAGTTGAATCTTCATTTTCGGGTCTTGTTAAGTCGTGAAGGCTTTTTCTAGATCTGGCATTATCGGATTCAGTTTGGCTGAACACGATTATATCGTCGATATACGTAGCACATTTTATTTGTATGTCATATGTTGTAATATGTCATCAAGGGCGCGATGATGTATTGGCGGTGAATTTTTTAGGACAAAGGGTACTTTTTCGGACAAGGGAATTTGATATAAACCTCTTTTTTGATCAGTGGGGGGTAAACTCTCATTTTCCATTTTCCACGCGTGCATAGGGTAGGAAATTCTGCCACAGCGCTATCGGCATACTGCCATTGTGAGCACCTTCAAATTTTGTTAGCATTTTTTGGGGAAGCATAGTTTTTTATTTGCTAAAGAACTGTTGCTAACAAAGCTTTCTTTAAAATAAGATACACTATTTTAGTGCCCATTCCAACTTTTGAATTAACGAAAAATAAAATAAACAAGAAAGGAAAGCTAACTTCGGGCGGAGCCGAAGTTGATATACCCTTGCAGTTAAAACCGGATATATATCGCAAACATCGGATTCAGTTGGCCGATCCTTATGAAAATATCATAATAAAACCAATTACCTAAAATAAAAAATCTAAAAAAAGTCCCAAACTTCTATCTTAAAACATACCAAAGTTGGTATTTCTACCAAAAACCATTTCCGATGGTTCAGTTATATGGGGATAAGATATAGTCGGCCGATCGTTATGAAATTTGGTAGGTCGGATCAACTGACCAAAAATATAATCTGTACCAAGTTCCAGCTTTATATCTTCAAAAACACGAAAGTTGGGTCATTTCCGATCGTTCAGTTATATGGCAGCTATAGGATATAGTCGGCCGATCCTTACGAAATTTGGCATGTCGTATTATTTTGCCAAAAATAGCGCTCATGTAAAATTTGAACTCTCTCACTCTAAAAACACCGAAGTTATACCATTTCCGATCAATCAGTTATATGGCAGCTATAGGATATAGTCGGCCGATCCGGGCCGTTCCGACTTATATACTGCGTGCAAAGGAAAGAAGGGTGTGTGCAAAGTCTCAAGTCGATAGCTTTAAAACTGAGAGACAAGTTTGCGTAGAAACAGACAGATGGACAGAAGGACATGCTCATATCAAATCAGGAGGCGATCCTGATCAAGAATAATATATACTTTATAGGGTCGGAGATGTCTCCTTCACTGCGTTGCACACTTTTGACCAAAATTATAATACCCTCTGCAAGGGTATAAAAACTACGTTTTTTTCGCTCTTATTTTTTTTCTCTGCTACGCATACACTCAAATTTTAAACATGTGTGCGTTTTGCCCCCCACTGTTTTAGATCTATGACTGATTGAGCGATTATTTCGTCTTTTTCCGGATTAGTCAATAACTATTCTTACTGCCAGATGAGTCCAATTTTTTGGGCCCTACCCAAACAGGTGCATTGTACAGCGACTGTGAAAATCAAATTATTCCATCCAGTACCAATTCTTATATTTGAGTTTTTACTTCTGTTCGTAGTGAAGCGGGGTACGGGTAGTGTTTGCTGTATCGTGTAAGAATTTGTTCGGATTTCGGCTACGACTCTTGTAGTGTAGATCAGTTTCTCCTGGGTGCAAAGTTCTGGGTATGTTTCTGTAAGTCTGGCCATTGCTTGTTTTTAGGATATGTCATATGGTTAATAATATAAAAATTGTAAACTGCTTATATTTTAACTTGATGTGTTTTAATTCTTCTACCTCCGCTTATAATTAAGGTATTTGTTTAAAAGTCAACTACGGCGTCCAATTGTTTTAAAGTGTCGTTCCCTTTTATCCCTATTTTTA